TACATTAGACTGCCAATGATACGAGAATATTCTAATTGTGATATGTTTTGGCCAGTATTTTTAGAGAAATGAAGATTTATATTAACTGGTGTTCTAACAATATTGTTTTCATTTTTGTCGAACTTCTCAAGTATTTCTCAATATAATGTGATTGAAATAATATAAGTCCACCAGATGTTCTAGAAATTTTAATTCCTAGTATGACATCTACAACACCCAAATCTTTTATGTCAAACTTACTGGACAACATTTTCTTGGTAGTTGCAATACTATTGTTGTTACTACCTAAAATAAGCATATCATCCACATATAGGCAAACAATGACATATCTATTATTTGTGTCTTTGACATAAATACATTTATCACATTCATTAATTGTGAAACCATTTGATATCATTACCTTGTCAAACTACGCATGTCATTGTTTCGGTGCTTGCTTTAAACTATAAAGTGATTTAACAAGTCTACACACCTTTTTCTCTTGTCCAAGAGAAATGAACCCTTCGGGTTGATCCATATAAATTTCCTCATTTAAGTCACTATTTAGGAAAATTATTTTCAAATCCATTAGGTGTATCTCAAGATTATGCAACGCTGCAATAGCTCTGAACATACGAATAGATGTTATTCTCGTAACAGGAGAATATGTATCAAAGTAATCAAGACTTTCCTTTTGTTTGTAACCTTTAGCTACAAGTCTGGCCTTGTACTTATCAATTGATCCATCAGTTTTCATTTTCCTCTTAAAAATCTATTTACACCCTACTGGTTTACTCCCTGGAGGAAGATCTACCAACTCCTAGGTGTGATTTTTCATGATGAATTCAATTTCACTATTTACAGCTTCTTTCCACAGAGGTGCTTCAGTAGTGGACATCGTTTCATTGAAGCTTTGAGGCTCATTTTCTAATAAATATGTTAGAAAATCTGGACCATAGGACTTGAAAGTCCTTACCCTCTTACTGCGTCTAAGTGTCGTTTCACTTTCATTATTTATAGATGCATGGTCTATATTACTAGTTGTAATCTCATGAGTTCTTTTAAGAGAACTCCCATCACATGCATTTTTACTAGGAAAACCATTTTCAAAGAATGATGCATTTCATGACTTAATGATTGTATTGACATGTATATCAGAAATATCATATTTATGCACAAGAAAACGATATGCCCTACTATTTATTGCATAACTAATAAATATACAATCAACAGTCTTAGGTTCTATTTTAATCTTTTTAGGAATAGGAACCATCACCTTAGCCAAACACACCAACACTTTTAAATATTTATAAGAAAGACTTCAACCTTTCCATAATTCATAAGAGATTTTTTCTAACTTTTTGTGGGGTAATTTATTTAAAATATAGTTTGCTGAAAGCAAATCTTCCCCTCACAAGTTTTGAGGTAATCCCGAACTAATCAATATGGCATTCATCATTCAATGTTCTATTTTGAAGTTCAGCAACTCCATTTTGCTGAGGTGTATAAGGCACAGAAGTTTGGTAAATAATATCATGTTCTTGACAGAACCGATCGAAAGGTGCATCATATTCACCACTTCGATCACTTCTTATTGTCTTAATCTTTTTGCCAAGTTGATTCTTTACCTCATTCTTATAATGCATAAATTTTTCTAATGCTTCATCTTTACTCCTTAGAAAATATACATAGCAATATTTTGTGCAATCATCAATAAATGTAACAAAGCATTTATTTCCATCTCTAGTTTGAATATATTTCAAATCACATGAATCACTATGAATTAATTCTAGGGGTTCAGTACTTCTTTCAATATTTTGAAATGATGCTCTAGTTAATTTTGATTCAAGAGATGCTTCACATTTATGATTTGCATAAATATTGAATTTAGGCAACAATTCTAAATTCATTATTTTACGCAAAACATCAAAATTAACATGTACTAATCTACCATGTCATACATTGGAAGACTCAAGCATATAAGCAGAAGATGTGTTCTTATTATTAAAATTTGATACAATTGTCATTACATTCATCTTAAAGAGCCCATCGCTCATATATCCCTTGCGCATATAAATCTTACTCTTAGTGAGTACAGATTTATTGGATCCAAAAACCAACCTAAAACCCTTCTTACTCAACAATGATCCAGACACAAGTTTCTTTCAAATTGCTGGAACATGTAACACATCATTGAGAGTAAGTTCTTTTCCAGAAGTCATTTTCAATATAACCTTTCATTTGCCTTCAACTTTGGAAGTAGAGAAATTTCTCATGAAGATTTGTTCTCCATCATTAATTGCTTCATATGAGCAAACCATCTTCTTATCCGCACATATGTGTCCAGTGGCCCCGGTGTCTACCCACCATTCTTTGGTATTTTTCACCAAGTTCACTTCGGATACTACAATAGAAAAGTTTATGTTAGAAATGTTTTCAGAAAGTTTTTTTACCTCGGTTATATTGGTTTGGGCAGCCTTCTTCTTGTGGTTCATTTCTACTTTATGGCTTCAACAATCTTTTGCACGATATCTCGGTTTATTGCACACAAAACAGTTGTCTTTAAACCTTTTGGAATCACCACCCTTGGCCCCTTGTTGGCCAACATACTTCCTTTTTTTGTTGGTTTTTTGTCCATCTTCAATCACATGTGCCTTTGACTCCATGGAATGATTGCCAACTTTCTTTTCGGAGACTCTATTGTCCTCCTCAATTCTCAATCTCACGATTAAATCTTCAAGTTTCATCTCTTTGTGTTTGTACTTCAAATAATTTTTGAAGTCTTTCCAATTTGGCGGTAATTTCTCAATAATTGTAGCCACTTGAAAGGATTCACTAAGCACCATCCACTCGGCATGAATCTCATGTAGGATCACTTGAAGATCTTGAACTTGACTTACGATAGTTTTGGAATCCATCATTTTGTAGTCTAGGAATCTGATCGGCATTCCGGCATCCTCCGTTTTGTACTTTTTATCCAAGGACTCTCACAACCCTCTAGCCGTCTTGATTGGACTATACACATTATATAATGTGTTATCCAATCCATTGAGGATATAATTTTTGCACAAAAAATCAAAATACTTTTATGCATTTATCGCAGCAACAACTTGGCAGTGAGTCTCATTCTCACTACAAACAGGAGCATCCTTATGATGAAACTTTACCAGATTCAACTTAATGAGATAGAACAACATTTTTTGTTGTCATCTCTTGAAATCGTTCCCATTGAACTATTTGGGTTTCTCCCTATGAGACACATGAGTAGGAACAAAAATAGGCACCACAAGCACAACATTATTTGTAGTAGCAGGAACATTATTATCATTTGCAGCCATTTTTGATAAACAAAGATATCAAACTATTCAAAATAGGAAAACATAGACAATTTTTGTTACTATTTAGTGTCACTGTTTTGTGTCACTGAAGTTACTATTTTAACATTTTTATATGGTGTCACTATGTGGTGTAACTGTTTGAATTNTGTTTGAATCATACACAAAATAAAGTCACTATTTGGTATAACTGTTTAACTCAAAGTCATTATTTGATGTAACTATTTAAAACAGAGTTATTGTTCGGTGTAAACTGTTTAAATTAAACACCTAAACAGAACATGCAATGTTCCACAAAATGTTCAAGTCTCTTTAAAACATCACAGATTGTAAAAAATAAGGTTTAACAATCTATAAAATTTTAGAACAATTTAAAATATTAAAACATGTATCAGAAAGTCAACAAGCAATTATACAAACACAGAATCTCTAGCTTAAGATTGTTGTGAGTGATGTGTAATGTATAACAAAAACAAAAACAAATAAGTATGAAACAGTTGCACATAAATAGTCTTACAGGAAAGATTTACAGCAGTGTTATGAAACAGAAACAACAAATAGTTACATGCAACTATCTGTCAAACCAAAATAAATACTGACCCGGTTGCAAAACATGAATTGTTATTAAACTTCATGTAGATCAAGGCTAGTGTTTGACACTATGTCCTTAAAACAAATTTCGTTTCCACACACGAGCAGAAGTAGCACTCCAATCCACTCGTTCAGTGAACCAAGAATTGTGTTGTGTACTCTCCANAAGACTTTTGTCCCTAAGTTGGACGTAGTAGCCAATGAATTAATTTCACCAGGTGCAAAATGGGTTGATGGGAGAAGTAGTATTTTGCAGAAAGAGATGGATATGAAGTACAAGATTTTGAACATCTTCNATTTTCTCCAAAACGATAGGGCTTGGCCACACCCACACCCGGTTGGGTCGTGGCAGGCGGTGCGCGTGTGCGTGTGGTCGAACTGAAGGCATGTAAGTGCTCGTTCCGCTCATAAAACTGTGGTACCCTTTGGGACCCAATCCCATAAGCAAACTTGGTCTATATATGTCCATGTTGAATTTCTTCCTCAACCAATGTAGGATTGATGTCAAATCCCATATTGCACAACCTTTATTTCCACATTTCAAGGTCACTTTGAAGCATATTTTCTCATTCAGTTTTTACTCAATTTGAGCAAATGAATATACTACATTATTCTCCTCACGGAATAGAATATAAACCCATGAAATTTTACTCAAAACAATGAACGGGTCTTACTTTAATTTAGGCTCAAAATCGATCAAAAATTTAATTTTTACACTTAAAAAAAACTATTTTGGTCCAACAAATCACACATCTATCAAATATATATAATAATAACCGACCATTCTATCATTCATAAATCATACATTTATAGATTTTTCTTTTTCTTTTTTTTTTTTTGAAAATAAGGGTCCAAACATATTTGCTTTGGGGCCCCTATTCTTTTTAAAAAATTCAAGTAATACCCTACTATATCCCTGACGTATCCCGGCGTATCTTGAAATATTCGAAATTCAACTTTTTTTTTCTTGGGGTTGAAATAGAATATGTTGAGGGGATCAATATAAGAATTCGACATATGTATGATCCTGACTTGTTTCCACATGTTGAAAAGCGAGATCGTTATTATAATTTTTTTAGTAGTCGTTCCTTAGTCATGGAAAGTTCAATGACTATGGAGAGCTTGGAACACCTGGGTATCCCAATTGAGTTTAGAAGAAGCAACTGGGCTAACTTTGCCATTAAGGATTGGAGAGCAGCTGTTCCATTGGAACGTGAATTTTATTGTAATTTTGAGAGCTATTCTGAAATAACAATGAAACTTAAGACTTTTGTCCCTAAGTTGGACGTAGTAGCCAATGAATTAATTTCACCAGGTGCAAAATGGGTTGATGGGAGAAGTAGTATTTTGCAGAAAGAGATGGATATGAAGTACAAGATTTTGAACATCTTCTGTGTTACTTCATGCTATTGATACTGGTGTTGAAATAGATCTGCCTTTTTTGATAACGAAGTAGATAGTTGATGCTGCAGACAATGAGGTGGCCAATGCTTCTCTTCCTTTTGGAGGAATTATTACTGCTTTGTGTGAGAAAAAAGGGGTGGAATTTTCTACAAGTTTGTATATATTAAGAGCATATCTTATACCTGAAGTGAGGATCAGTATTAAATGCTTTCAATCCATGGAGAGAGAGAGAGAGATTGTGCTAAACAAATATGTTTCGCTTTCAAGCCAATTAAAAAAAGCCCTTAGCTTAGTTAGGACATTGGATATGCATTTTTTTTGTTTGAGTTCTATCTCAATAGAACTATCTAATTACAAGAGTTCAATCTCAAGAAAACATAACCTACATGAAAGTTTTAAATTAATTTAATAAATTGACACCCTAAATAAAAATACATTGTCGTTATTCTCTCAGCTTATATATATATATATATATATATATACGTTGAAGTGGAGGTAGGCCAAATCACTTTTAAATACACACGTAGAAGCTATAGTAAATGGTATGGTGTAGGTGTACGCTTGGAATTAAAGGCGGATGGATTGTTGTACTTTGGATTGAAAGAAAAGCACATGATAAGGACATAAAAGAGCCAGAAAAATTTTTAGAATGGACACTCAAGTTTTATCCTAATCGATAAAAAGAATATGACATATTTATACTATTTATTTCATCAATAATCCTTACAAATTTTATGCATATAGAAAAAATATTAATTATAGTCTTTTATTGAAAATGAGATTAATTATAGTTATTTACAATTTGAACCTACAAATTTTCATGATTTCATAGCTTTGTCTAATGCCTGCATTAATAATGACTAATAAAATTAATGTCAAAATCACATATATGTATACTAAAGAATATACTATGTATTTTTTTTGGCTAGGTTTTAAACTCAATGCTAAAGTGTAAATCCATAATAAATGGTCAAGTTGATCAAAAGATTTTAAAATAAAACCTAACGGCATGAATTCGCGTGGATGAGCAGAGGGAATGAATGGTACCTAGTGACCTAGAACTGTGCTACAAGGCTAGTGAGAATCGAGTAGAAATTGCTGGGGAATTGGGGTGATTGCACAGTGAAATTATAGTAGTTCACTGGCTCGAGAGCTCGACTAGTCCACTCTTCAATGAAAATTCTTATTCATTTCGTTTCAGTAATGGGGGACGCAGTTTACAATTGAACCTCTGGTTCTCCTAGGGTTATTTTTTTTTTTTCTCTCTCTATTCTGGAGGCATCATGCACTATTTATAGAACAGCTCCTAGTTCTGTAAGATTTGCACCGAGATCCTCGCCATTTATCTAGGGGATTCTCCTTGATTTTTGAAGAAGATCTTGATTATTTAGGAGCTTTGTGCCTTGAATGCGATTCTTTGCCCGCTACTAATATCCAGCTATTCCATCGTCTTTTCTGCTATCGTCTCGCCTTGGGGGAGCTCTAGCTCAAATCCTCTGAGCTCTACGTAACTTGTCTGATCTCCCTGTTCAACCTCTTTGTCTGAGCTCATACTTTTCTGGGTATCATCAGTTGTCCCCTAGCTCTTGGTCAAGCTGGCTTGGGCAAGGGCTGAGCTCAAACTGAGACAAATTAGACCTTCACTAGGTGACCTTGATATCTATGCAAACATACTTCTGACGGTTTTCATCAATCATTTCTCTTCTTGTTTCTTGTGCGCACTGTCCATTTTGAACCCCTTTGTACCGTTAGCTTTAAATACCCCTAGACCAATAGTCTTCCCCTCACTCTTCAACTTCTCTCTGGCTTTTTTTCCTTTTTTTCCTTGCGATTTCTTTTTCCCCGATTTGCAATCGTTCTTAGGGTTCTCCCGGAGACGATTTCCTCTAATTTGATCTGAAGGCTTAGCGAGGCCTGTTTTCAGATTTTGTTCTCGAGCTTTAGGGCATCGTTGATCTTCGTCTAGGTACGTCTTTCATCTTTTTCGCAGTTCCTCGTTCTGGATCCCTCAAATCTGAGGTGGTTATTGCATTTTTTGACCTTTCGGTTCTACTATTTTAGGAATCGAAATCTTTCCTATCTCGTATTCTCCTCTTCTTAGACCCTTATTCTACGGCTAGGATTTTCGTTATAGGTCGTTGGTGTCTTGCCCCTTGACTCTCAGAGAGTGTTTCTCAGAGGTTCCCCCACTTTATAGGTCTTTTAGGCTCCCCTTTTCTAACCCAGGTATGTCCACTTCGTCTAAGGCCATGGGTTCATCCATTTCTCTGATGAAAGACAGATCTGCAGAGATGGATTCTGATTTGGGAGATGTGGGATAGGAAATTAATGACTTCCCCATGGTGGATTCTATCGAAGTCAGGGGAGGTTCTGAGGAACCTCCTTTACCATCCCTTCCAGCTTCTAAAGCCCCCAACAAAGGCAAAACCAAAGTGAGTGATGTTGGGATTTCTAACAATGTCGAAGGTGGAGGTCCCGCTCCTAGGGCTGTTGAGCTCGTAGGCCCTAGTGACCTCGTTCCTTCTTATTTGAAGGTTTTAGCAGGTCATTTTGGCTTTCCCTAAGGTGTGCAGTTCTGGAGTCCAGACATGTACACTTGATATGATTCTTCCATTCCCAAAAAAATATGTTTTTTCATGGCCGCCTTTAAGAATGGCCTCCGCTTTCCCATGCATCCCTTTATCAAGGGTGTTTTGTAGCATTTCAATGTCTGTCCTGCTCAACTCTCTCCTAATTTCTTGGGTGTGTTGGTGGGCCTCCTTGGTTTTTTCAACAAGCACGATCTTGGGGTCCCTACTGTTCCTTTGCTCATGTTTTTTTTAAATGTCAAGTACACTTCTTCAAACGATTTTTTGTATATCTCCAAGCGCGTGAAAACCAAAGTTCTTATCTCCGACCTCCCGAGCTCCCAGAAAGGTTGGAAGAAACTTTTCTTTTTCATGTAGAGGAGAGACTGGGAGTTCGAATCCAACGATATGACCGATACTCTTCCAATTCCTCGGGGCTGGTCTGCCCCAGATAACTTGGGTGAGCCTTTCCTTGAGCAAGTTGGGATAATCCTTAGTATCCTTCTCGGTTGACTGATTTTGTTTTTCAGGCATTAGACTAGAACTCAATGTTGCAGATGAGCGAGTTTTAAGGAGTTTGGTCAACTGTAATTCAGAAAAATATTCAGAGCTCATTCAGGCCCAAGTTCTTGTAGAGCTTGGATTCAGCCCTCGTGAGGTGAAGATTGAGAATCCTATTCCCCTCTCCGTTGTCAATGCTGAAGAAGTGGCAGGTTTGTTTCCTTTCTCTTGCCTTTAAGCCCTTTTTGCCTCTTACTCTTTCCCCTTTTTTTTTTTTTATTTCCTCTAACTTATTCTTTTGCTTCCAGGTTCTTCCACTATGCGACCTTCCCAAGAAGTGCTTGAGGCCAAGGTTGCCTTGTTAAAGAAGAACAGGAGTGGGGCTAAGCGTAAGGCCGAGGTTGGTTCCGGTAGCAACATCTCTCCTCCGGCTAAGGCATCCAAGGTGGGTGTGCCTTCTGTTTCGCTATACCTACTCAAATGGCGTTTATTCCATCACCCAGCGTTTCTCCACCTGCCAAGACCTCTTCTCTCCATAAGCTCTTCTTACTCCTAGGGGGGCTCCTGAGCCGACCTCCCCCACTTCAGTTGAGGTCAAGAAGGCTTTAGCGTCAGTGACTCGAGTCTTGCCTGTCTCCGTTTCTTCTGGGCTTCCTGGGAAGTCTTTACTACCATCCCAAAATAGTCCCAAGACTGAGAAAGAGAAGCAGGCTAAGGAGGAGAAAGAGGATGGCTCTTTCCTGGATGATGCTGAGCTCGCCACAGGTGCTCTTGACTCCATCATTCCCCTTTCTAATGTCCAAAGGGCTGCTGCCATGCTGCTTGAGAACTCTATCAATGCAACTTTGCATGGAGCTGTCACGGTAAGATCTCATTTCTTTCGTTTCGTAACTCCTTTTTTTGGTGATCGCTCTATGCTGACTTTTTAATCCCTACTGCCTTTCCTTCCATATGGCCATCTACATGAAGGGGCTGTTAAGTCGAATCCGAGACTTGGAGAGCTTTGCAAAGGCCTCGAAGGCATTTGAACTCAAATGTGTCGAGCTGGCCTTTGCCAATCATGACCTCCAAACCCATATTCAAGACTTGCAAACACAAGTGGAAAAGAAAGCTTCGACCATCAAGAGCTTAGAAGCGAATGAAGAGAAAACTCAAAAAAAGCTCAAATTTAAGACAAATGTCTGGGCCAAATCTAGTCAGGAAACATCGGAGCCCCTAAGCTCTTATAGGAACATGAAAAAGGAGTACGACGTCCTGGCAGAGGTGAGTGATACTCTCCGAAATGAGCTCGAGGCACAGAAGGCCGTGGTGAAGGAGAAGGATGCCCTCGTTGATAAGCTGATGGATAACATTACAACTAAATGGGCTACTGGATGGCTTGCCTTCCAAGAACGGGCTGAAGAGGTGTACCCTGATCTAAGCTTTGACTTTGAGATTCCTCCTTAACACGAAGAGGAAGAGGCTAACACAAGGGACGCGGGTGTGGATCCTGAGCTTCCTCCTGGTGGTGTTCCAATTCCCCCAAATATGTGCTCGTCCCTTCCGTTGGTTGCCCCAGTGGTTCTTACCTCAGAAACTGTTCCTGCCCAAGTAACTGTCGAGCTCCTGGTCAGCTCTTCCACTTCCTTTTACGTTATTCCTTTTTCTGCAGATCTTGTAACCAAGGCTCTTGCCTAGAGTTCGCCAAGAGCGAAAATTGAAATCCCAGCTTCTGGTCTTCCTAAGATTTTTGCTGCTGATCAACCAGAAGGTTCGTCTGCTACTCCACCAGGAGAGTCAACTGTCGAGTTATCAGGCTCATCTCCTCTTGTTTTTGCTAAATCTTAATAGAGAGAGAGAGATTTTTTTTTACATGGCTAGAACTCATCACCTTTAAATGTAAATTTGATGCCAATGTTTAACACTTGACTACTTGAAGTAGATTTAAATTTTTTGTTGCAG